CAATTGATTTAATTGACTCGGAGTTTCTGTTGCTCCATCACTAACTGAATTCGTGTTTATGATCAAACTGATTGACGATTCTGTTCCTCGTGTGTGGATGCGCTTTACTCGCACAAAATAAAGTACATTAAGGTTAGATAAAGCATTACAATGTTACAATAAATATTAATGAATTAACTTTACATCGCTTGTAAAACTATAAAACAGACTGAACGGTTTGTATTGATTTAAATACTGTAAATGTTTAAAAACACAAACCTTTCTTCAGCAGAATCAACAGACGCAGGAGCGCGGCGCGGACATATGACGTCACAACATCATACCAAAATAATAAAGTCCTGGGGGTATTCCAGAAAGCAGGTTATGTGACATAACATGTTAAGTAATGTTTTATTTCGTTCTAACCTATAACTCGGGAAATGTAACGAAAAAAAATTCTGGATATTTCCAGCCTAAGACGTGTTTAATCAGCCGATTAATCCGTATCTAAAGCCGTGTCTACACCAAGAGAACCCATTACAGGAAGTGGCGCGAGGCGACAAATCTTCTACAGTAAATGATGCCTCCTTCTATCCTGAATCTTTGAAACGTGCGCTGTATGCATTGAAAGTGAAACCTAAAAAACAAGCGCGCATAAGAAAGCGATTGCAGGCTTTCGCGAGCTTCAGCAAATGCACTCGATCACAGATTGCACGCTTCCCAGCCGAAACAAACCCCCACGTGAAATTGAAATAATAACCTGTGATATAAGATTTTGGCCATATTGCCCATCTAAATCATTCATCCCACTCTATCAACAGGCCTACAAGACGTAGGCTACACTTCTTGTACTTCGTTTGGGCACCACAAGGTGTCACTGTGGCCTCAAAGCTTACCCCTCGCCTACTCTGGCTCGATTGCTATTCCTGAGGTAAAACACGCCCTCATTACCCTACGGACAAAGAAATGTATAAATAAAGAAATGTGGAAATAAATAAAGAAAAAAATACGTAAATAAATACATAAATGTGAAAATAAATAAAAGTGGGAATAAATAAATGTATAAATAAATAAAAGAAAAAATAAATGTGGAAAAAAATGAAAAAATACATAAATACGGAAATAAAATTATAAATAATTATTTATTTGTGCTTTTTTACTTTTCTTTGTATATTTATTTATTTATATTTGCTTTTTTACATTTCTTTGTACTAGGGCTGCACGATAAATCGCATGCGATATTTAATGCGCATCTTGTCAAAAATGGAGTGTTTTTGTCCATCATCAGAACAGCCTCATCCGCGGCAGTAGATTAATAGCATCACGTTTTCATCAGTTTGCAGGTTGCAGTGTATTGTAGCTATATGAGCGCTCAGGTTCTCTTGTTGTTTAATACATTTGGCCAGAATCTCACAATATAACAGATGAACTGCTATGATATTTAAAATGTACAAAAGTGTATTGGCTACAACTAGACAGCAAATGCTAAGACTCTTCTCTGCTCTTTATACACAAAAACATTAGCCTTTATAGACAGCGTTTCTTGAGTAAAGGAAACCGCGGTACTGCTAAGACTTTTCTCTGCTCTTTAAACACACAAAAACATTAGCCTTTATAGACAGCATTTCTTGAGTAAAGGAAACGCTGTACTTGTTCAAACATTAGTTCTTTATTTACCCTTGCATTGCAAAGTAGACGTCTGTCTTCAAACTGCGTGTCGTGGCACTTCATTCTGAATGGAAGCGGGGTGGAGTTATGAGGTTTGACTGACAATTTGTGGATCCAATGGCATTACGAGGTTCAGTCACAAGCTTTTTTGAATGCTTTTCATTGGTTAAATATTTGTAAAAACCCACAAACAGACAATGACCAATAGCACTGATTTAAAATAATAACGAAATGGAGATGAGGAAGTTTTTCATCATTTTCCAGGCACACCCAACAACCTGTGGCACAGTGGTTGGGAAACACTGAATTAGGTCAACCGGAACCGGGAACACTAACCATTAACACCCAAATGTACTCACTAAATCATAAGAATAGCATCTATGCTAATATTACTTTCTTTCAGTCTTATTCCGAGGTCACCATAGTCACCCAAATCCAGTCCATATCCAGACCAGATGGTGGATCAGCACCTAGAGACAACCTCTACAGCCCTGAATGTCAGCGGAGACCATGGGTGCTTCTCAAACGGAAGGCTGCATCCTACCGAGGCTGCGTCCTTCCTAGTTCAGTCCTTCAAATTCTAGACCGTCTCATTCTAGCGTTTAATGCAGAGGAGGACTCCAGCCTACAAGTGCGCATGGCTACATCACATATGTATTTATAATACTTTGTATTACAAATCTTTATATTATTTGGCTTTCTATTAATGCAATGCAATGAATCACAGATGTCTACAGTCTCCCCGTGGCTTACATTATTGGCAGTTTAGCACTTAGTGAGTAATTCACACCAAAACAAAAAATAACATTATACTTTCATGTCCGAAAGCACCCTATGTTGAGAAGCACCCCATGTCAACTAGATGAGCCCCAGAAACAGATCCACTGTGAAGACCACGTCAACTAGACGGCCATCGGGACAAGACCACGTGAACCAGATGAGTCCTCTGCACAATCTGATTTTGCTGCAGCATGGAATTAAACTGCAGGTTTCGTCTGGCCAGAGGAGAACTGGCCCCCCGACTGAGCCTGTTTTTTTCTCCATTTCTGTCTGGAGTTTTGGTTCCTTGCCACTGTTGCCTTTGGCTTGCTTAGTTGGGGACGCTTGACTGATTGCACAGACACTATTGGAAGAGAGCTGAACTGGATGATGGCATCATTGAATAATCAATGAATTGACTTTAACTGAAAAATGACTCTTCGTTATTGTCCTCTTGCATTATTGACAAACTATTTTTCTGACACTCTAAAGCTGCTTTGACACAATCGGTTTTGTATAAAGCGATATATAAATAAAGGTGATTGACTCAACGTTGTAAACTCTAGGGGTAAGGCTTCTAAACCGGGGTGTTTTTAGGGGCGTGATACTCACACGATTGTTTTCAGCCACCACATTTATCAGTGTACGATCATTCGTACGATAGAATTGGCAGGATACGAATGTTTCATGAAGAGAACCCTGTCGTAAGTTGATTTGTGCCCTTGGATCTGTGCTCGTCTCTACATTGAATTGATAAATGAGGCCCATTTTAAGGAATAAGCATGCACTACAAATGTAATATGAAAGTTTATACTGTAACATGATGAATGTCACAGTCTAAGTGTGCTTTTACACTAGCACTTTTGGTGCGCACCCGGGCTCGATTGACGTCAGAGTTCGGTTCGTTTTGATGATGTGAACTTGTGAACCCACAAACCGTACCCAAGTCTGCTTAAAAAGGGTGGTCTGGGGTTCGGTTCATGTGAACTCCGGCATGGTTCGCTGCTGATGTGAACGCAATCGTACCAAATCACGGAAGTGAACCACTATTAATGACGTATTATTTGATAAAAAAGTTTGTGTGTGTTTCACTCACTTTCCTGACGAGCGTGACGCGCTGTAAGCAGAGAGCTGTATATCTCATTTCTGTTTGCCTTTAGCATTCTTAAGGGCATTTGTAGTACATTTGTAAGACAGACGTAAGTGCGGTTATGTACTGAAGCTTTGGAAACAAAACCAATGGTTCAAAAACATAAATATATAAAAATGAAGAAAGCAACTAAGCATTTTGCCGCCTTCTCCTGCGCCATCAACAAGTTAAGCAACAGGGTAAACAGCTGCTGGCTTGATGACGCAAACGAACCGCGGTTAATAAATAAAATAATATGAACACAGTCCAGCGGGGGCAGGGGGAGCTATCGAACTCCGGTTCGGACCAGGCAATCGAACCAAGTGTGAAAGCACCCTAAGAATGTTTAGACAAGTGTTTACAGTGAAGTACTGTGTTGACAAATATCTGCTCAAACTTGTATTTATTTATTTGTTTGTTTGTATTTTTAAATTGTACCAACATCAGTAAGTTCATCTACACAGGATGGATATTCTACATGATTGAGGTGAAATAAGCTTCATTACTGACATCACAAAAAAGTTTATTACAATACTTAAAACAATATATTGTTTTATATTAATCATTTTGGGGAACGAATATTGATTTATAGAGCAGGATGATTTTCACCTAATTTTGTAGTAAAAACTATAGGCTACAGGATCAAGTTCTCTAAAGTATGTTCAGGATGCATTTACGGGCTTATTTTAGTGACTTACAAAATTACAAATTTTTTTTCCATTAACTACACTTAAATGTTTCCTCAAAAAAAAAAAAAAACAATTACATACATGCTACACACATTATTGTAACAGTTTGTACTGAATACAGTGTAAACACCAATTAAAAACTGAAATAAGCACAAATGTTAGGGCAAGTCAAAACATCACCAGGGCCCAAAAACCTCCTCTGACCCCAAAGGGTTAATAATTCCTTTTCAGTTGAAACTGGTAAGTGAAGAGACTCTCTTCAGTGTGAATTCTCATGTGGACTTGAAGGTTTCCATGTTGAGCAAAACTCTCAACACTGTTGACAGGTGTATGCCTTTCCTCTGGTGTGAATTCTCATACCTGTTAACACTTCCTTTTTGGGTGAAACATTTTCCATACTATTGGCAGGTGAACGGCTTCTCTCCGGTGTGAAATCTCATGTGGTCTTTTAAAGTTCGATGTTGACAGAAACTCTTTCCACACTGTTGGCAGGTGTAAGGCTTTTCTCCGGTGTGAACTCTCTTATGCCTGTTAAAGGTTCCTTTTTGAGTGAAACTCTTTCCACACTGTTGGCAGGTGAATGGCTTTTCTCCGGTATGAACCCTCATGTGGTCTTTTAAAGTTCGATGTTGATTGAAACTCTCTCCACACATTTGGCAGGTGAAAGGCTTCTCTCCAGTGTGAATTCTTATGTGGGCTTCAAAGCACACTTTTTGAGTGAAACACTTTCCACACTGAGGGCATGTATAAGGCTTTTCACCAGTATGAATTCTCATGTGGACATTAAGGTTTCCTTTTCTGTTGAAACTTCTTCCACACTGTTGGCAGGTGAAAGTCTTCTCTCCAGTGTGAACTCTCATGTGTTTTTTTAAGTTTTGATGTTGATCGAAACTCTTTCCACACTGTTGGCAGGTTAAAGGGCTTTCTCCAGTGTGAACTCTCATGTGTTTTTTTAAGGTTCGATGTTGATAGAAACTCTTTCCACACTGTTGGCAAGAGAAAGGCCTTTCTCCGGTGTGTACTATCATGTGTTCTTTTAAGGATCGATGTTGATAGAAATTCTTTCCACACTGTTGGCAGGTGAAAGGCTTTTCTCCAGTGTGAACTCTCATGTGGTGTTTTATAGTTCGAAGTTGACAGAAACTCTTTCCACAATGTTGGCAGGTGTAAGGCTTTTCTCCGGAGTGAACTCTCATGTGGTTTTCTAAGGTTCGACGCTGAAAGAAACTCTTTCCACACTGTTGGCAGGTGAAAGGCTTCTCTCCAGTGTGAATTCTCATGTGGTTTTTTATGGTTCGACGTTGACAGAAACTCTTTCCACAGTGTTGGCAGGTGAAAGGCTTTTCTCCAGTGTGAACTCTCCTATGCCTGTTAAAGGTTCCTTTTTGAGTGAAACTTCTTCCACACTGTTGGCAGGTGAACGGCTTCTCACCAGTGTGAATTCTCATGTGGTCTTTCAAGGTTCGATGTTGATTGAAACTCTTTCCACACTGTTGGCAGGTGAAAGGCTTCTCTCCAGTGTGAATTCTTATGTGGGCTTCAAAGCGTACTTTTTGAGTGAAACTCTTTCCACACTGAGGGCATGAGTAAGGCTTTTCTCCGGTGTGAATTCTCATGTGGACTTTAAGGTTTCCTTGATTACTGAAACTCTTTCCACACTGAAGACAGGAGTAAGGCTTCTCTCCGGTGTGAACTCTCATGTGGACTTTTAGGCTTCCATGAGTATTGAAACTCTTTCTACACTGAAGGCATGAATAAGGCTTCTCTCCAGTGTGAATTCTCATGTGGACTTTAAGGTTTTCATTCTTATCGAAACTCTTTCCACACCGAAAACATGTGTAAGGGCTCTCTCCAGTGTGAATTCTTACGTGGACTTTAAGGTTTACAAGTTGAGCAAAACTCTTTCCACACTGAATGCATGTGTAAGGCTTTTCTCCAGTGTGAATTCTCAAGTGCCTGTTAATGCTTCCTTTCTGAGTGAAACTTATTCCACATTGTTGGCAGGTGTAAGGGCTCCCTCCAGTGTGAATTCTCATGTGGACAATAAGGTTTCCTTTTCTGTTAAAACTTCTTCCACACTGTTTGCAGGTAAAAAGGCTCTTTCCAGTGTGAATTCTCATGTGGAATTTAAGGTTTCTATGTAGAGCAAAACTCTCTCCACATCGTTGGCAGGTGTAAGGCTTTTCTCCCGTGTGAATTCTCATGTGCCTGTTCCAGCTTCCTTTTAGAGTGAATCTTATTCCACACTGTTGGCAAGTGAAATGCCTCTTTCCAGTTCTCAAATGGACTTGAGGTTTTACTTTTTGATTGAAACTCTGTCCAAACTTAAAACAAGTAAAATCACTTTTTTCCCCTCTCTTTTGAGCCGTTTTTCGTGTGGAGGACTTTTCAGTCTGTGAACAACAAAAAGATTTATCTCCAGTTGTGAAATCAAGAAGATCCTCATATTGATCTTTCACGTCAATTTCATCGAGTACTTCCCTCTCCTCTTTCAGTGCCATTAGGTCTAAGGAGAAAAAACAAACAAACAAATTAAAGTTAACCTCAGTTTATTTGCATTTATTGGAGGTCTTAAAGAGTTTAGCTCCAACTTAGCTCGATACACCTGCCTGGAAGTTTCCTAAATTACCAGAAGACATTGATTTGCTAGTGCAGTTGTGTTTAACTGGGGTTAGAGATAAACTTTGCAGGACAGTGGCCCTCCAGGAGTAGGACACCCCTGTCCTATAACTACTATGCTTTGAAATTGAGATGCACCGGTCGACCGGCCATAAATCAGAACTAGTCGTTTTTTGTTTTGGCTGATCTCTGCACTGGACTAGCACACAAACTTGCATTGCAGCAACTTCCAAAAATATAACTGGTGTGGAAATATTATCCATCTGTAAAAAGGATGTTAACACAAGCCAAAGATTGAATGCAATGAATACGGATACAAAGAAGAGAGAACAGACGTGCCAGCAGAAAGAAAATAGGCAGGCAAAGCAAACTTGTTCACAATGCATGAAATATAGGAAGGTAATATAAACTGTGGGTGGGAGTTTAATAGGAATCTCTGAATGGAACCGTCTTCAGGAAAGTTTAGATGGTGTTTTCTTTTAGCGCCATATAAAGTAGTGTTTATAAGCACACCGATGCTTTGTGTTCAGCTGTAAAGAGAGAAAATGCTCTATCACTGCTGTTCTATAAGTGCCACCTAGTGGCAGAGAATGAATGTGCATTTTCATTCAGTCCATGTGCTAGTTTTGTTTTGTGCAGGTGTTTAAATCCCAATGTTACACAATCTTATTTGAATCAAAACAACTTCTCATGCAACATGTGTGTAACATCTTTGTTTGAATAATAATTATAATGCAATGGTGCCTCTAATTTCAAATGGCTACAGATATTTGAAGCCACTTTGGCTTGTTCTAAAGCAAATAAGCAACAAATATGTTTGCTTAACCCCCATGGGTCAGCAGAGGCGCCATTGCGATCACTTGCATTTTTTCATGCTTAGAGCGATATAAACTTAGAAGAGAATGTAATTTTTGGTCAAAGTGAAAAAAAGTCATAGATCATTCATTACACATTACATGACATAACATTAAGTCATTTAGCAGACGCTTTTATCCAAAACGACTTACAAATGAGGACAATAGAAGCAATCAAAACCAACAAAAGAGCAATAATATGCAAGTGCTCTGACAAGTTTTGGTTAGCCTGACGCAATACATGTAGCAAGGTTTATATTTATATATTTATATTTATATATATATATATATAAATAAATAAAAAGAAAACAAGTAAATAGAACAGAAAAAGAATAGAGAAAGCTAGTGTTAGAGGCCTTTAAGAAAACAAGCAGTTAGAAAACTTAATAGAGTGCAAGTGTTTCTTTTTAATAAAAAAAGAAAACAAAAATAAAATAGAATTAGAATAGAGAGGGCTAGAGTTAGAGGGTCAAATAAAAATGGAAGAGATTTTTGTTTTTAGTCGTTTCTTAAAGGGGTCATCGGATGCAAAATTAATTTTTACTTGTTGTTTGAATTGAAATCTGTCTTGGCAGTGTGTACACAACCACCCTCTAATGATAAAAATCCACCCAGTGTTTTTTTTTTTAAAAACCCATAAATGTTATGTAGACAAGAATGACTCCTAAGCGATTGAGGTGTTTTGTTGTTTGATGTACTAATGAACATAGCAGTCGTCATTTACTCCCGACATCTGAGCAGCTGAAGACGCAGTGGATTACATTTGTTTTTGAAGGGAACGTGCCCCCAATCTACCTAAATGCGTCTATGTTCGCGCAAATCATTCGTGATCCAGCTTCACCTACAGCAGAAGTGAGTGTAAGTTGTTTTTTGGGGGGGGTTTTTATGAATATTTGCAAATCGCCTTTCCTAATAATGTGCTAGTTAGCAAGATCTGCGACGAATCCGCATTTACAATCCGCTAAAGTTTACAGTCTCGTGAGAACGGCTCCGCGCGGGGTTTTTATGAATATTTGCAAATCGCCTTTCCTAATAATGTGCTAGTTAGCAAATTTCACGATGAATGCAGCTAAAGTTAAGAGTCTCTCTTAAGAGAATGGCTTGTCACCCCAAGGAAGAGAGGTGAGCAGAGCTCATTAGCATTTAAAGGGACATGCAACAAAACAGCTTGCTGTGAACCGAGCTATATTTGACAGGGTAAAAAGGGTGTTGTTTTACACTACAATTGAGAAATTTAACTAAAGTACGTTATAGACTTTTCATTTAAAGGGGTGGTTGATTGTGATTTCACTTTTTTAAATACATAGTTCAGGCATGAAACTAACTAACCGCTAATTGGTCCATTCAACGCCGTAGCACCAGCCAATCTGGAGTACTTGCTAATCTACGTAAGCATATACAGGTGCATCTCAATAAATTAGAATGTCGTGGAAAAGTTTATTATAAGTTTAAGTTCATTTATTTCAGTAATTCAACTCAAATTTTGAAACTCGTGTATTAAATAAATTCAATGCACACAGACTGAAGTAGTTTAAGTCTTTGGTTCTTTTAATCGTGATGATTTTGGCTCACATTTAACAAAAACTTTTCCATGACATTCTAATTTATTGAGATGCACCTGTATATTGTATCCTAGCCAGTGTTCAGCACGTTGCGCGATTATGTAAGCTTATGTTACAGTTTTCCTCTTGCTGCTGTCAATCTACCTTCCCGGAATTATGTCTCATCTGGACATAGATGAGGTATTATCTCTGGTAGATCAAGCTTCTGATTCCGGCTCTGAAACGGAGATTCCAAACGCTCCACCTGTCGAAAGTGGCTCAGCAAGCTATCAACTAGGGCTGTGCAAATAATTGAAAGCGATGATTATGCGCATCTAGTCAGTAAAGCCGGTTCTGTGATTAGTATTAAATCTCCATCACGTGCTTTCAGATGGAGCAGCATTTACTACACAGAGCCGTAGTTCACTGACAAGCTACACAATATCACATACATCGCCGATAATGAACGCGATATTGCATAGCTTGTCAGTGAACTACGGCTCCGTGTAGTAAATGCTGCTCCATCTGAAAGCACGTGATGGAGATTTACTGGCTATTTTTTTAAATGTCATATAATATGTCATAATGTTCAATGTCAATATTATCTTATTTAAATATTTTATGTTTCAAATAACTCTCGTCGCTATCTGCGCTGCATGCAAGCACTGTGCAAGATTTTGCGTGTTCGGCGCGCATGTGGGGTTATCTTTTTTTTTCACTTTGTAATGCAGAAGCAAAATGTGAATCTGCAGTCCTATTTTGTAAATATTTGTACAATAGTTACAAATAGCCTATTATATATTCAGCATATTTTACTTAACCTGTATTATATATTATATATTCAGCATATTTTACTTAACCTGTATTGTATCTTAGTTATTTAATGCATAAGCAAGTCTTTAAAACATTTTTTAGTGCCATCCGTTTAAAGGGGTCATATGATGTTGCTAAAAAGAACATTATGTTGTGTATTTGGTGTAATGCAATGTGTTTATGCGGTTTAAGGTTCAAAAAACACATTATTTTCCACATAATGTTGCAAATCTTCCCACACAGTGACGTAGACATGTGGGGACATGTTAGAATGAGCCGTTTTAGGAGGGCGTGGACCAGTCTTAAATTTTATAAAGAATATCTCTTTGGGTTTGAGACTTTAGTCTTTGCAACTTTAGGGATCTTATCTATGCACGAACAGCTTGTAACACTCCAAAGAGAAAGGAAAACTTGAAATTGCATCATATGACCCCTTTAATCTTGATCAACAACTAATGATGAAAGAAATTGGAGTGGCGTTGGTCTGTTAAATAATTTTAAAATGTCAAATAGCCTTCAATTTATAGGTTATAACTGCATCTGTCTCGGATGTAGACTGGTGAAGATTTATTTTAATGTGGATTCCAAACTCTAGCGTTAACTCATAAATGTGCTATATTTTTAACCCATATTCAAATGTTTGTGCGGAATATTAATGCGCATGCATGACAGGGAGGCGCCCGCGCGATCACTTGCATTTTTTCCTGATAATGAAACAACTTAAAATCAGTTTGAAACTGATTTTATGTAAATTCATAATAACAACAAAATGTGCTTTTGTAAAATAATGAAAACCAACAGAATGCGCTGTCTCTGTGAACTGGAGCGCTTCTCAAAAAAGAACCAAAACTCAGAGTGTCTCTCACATAGGCTACAAGAGAAATATGTCTATAGAAAGCTTGAAATGTCTACTTTTAAATAGACCAATTAAAAACTAAATTAAATGTAACCAGTTTGTAAACGTAGCACCATCTGGTTACAGATTAACGAGAAGTGCAGTAAGAAGTGATTGCATAATCCCTTTAAGAAAAAGTGCATTTAGTCAAACAGTGTTTTCAGTTAGGGCTGCTCGTGAGTGGAACTCCATCCCAACTTACATTACAAATTTCAATACTTATGTTTCCTTTAAGTTTCACTTAAAGAAATGGTTAATTGAGAGTCAGCATTGTCAACATTCATTTTGTAAATTAAACTCTGCTGCTGTCTTGTTTTTTTTGCTCTGCTAATTTGAGATTTTTGTGTTATGTATATGAGGTTGTTTGGTTTAGGTCTGATTGAATGATTAGGGCTACTGTTACTTGTCTGTATGCTTACATTATCTTTGTTTGTATATTGATATTGTGATATTCTTGATATATTGTTTGTTATTTTGTTTGACAGTTGGATTGTGTGTATGAGTGAGCTGGTATTGATTTGTTGGTTTTGTGTATAGTATAATTTTAAGGCGGATGTCTTGTTTTTAAGAATAGTGTGAATGGTATATGTATTTTAGAGTATGTAAGTATTATGCATTGATTAATTCTTTATATTTTTAGGGTGACAATTTTACCATCAGTCCAGGGACTGCAGATGCAAAATAGCCTTCTGGCTAATTCTGGCACATTGTGCATTTATGTATTGTTGATGTGCATTGTCCCTGTCAAATAAACCTGAAATAAATAAAATAAATAAATACTCCC